CGTGTGTGTGTGTGTGTGTGTGTGTGTGTGTGTGTGTGTGTGTAGTGTGTGTGTTGTGTGTGTGTGTGTGTGTGTTTATCTATACATATACATATTTATATATGGGTGTGTGTGTCTATCTATGCATCTCTGTATACATGGGTGTATGTGTTTACGTGCGTGTATGAAGAAAGATAATGCATAATATTTCATTTAATTTCCCCCCCAGATGCCCCCGTCAGCAGCGTCCTGGTAGCTTGTCTGACGATAATTGCTTTGCTCGCACTGGCTATCGCTGCTCTCATCATCTACAATCGCCTGTTCTCTCCTATGTATGTCCACCTGAAACTTGTTCCATGTTAAAAATGTGATATAATTTCCTAGTCTTCACGAAAATGAAAAAAAAAAAAATGTATCACACATAAGCACACACACACGCACCATATATTCACACACAAATGGTCGTACGGGATCATCGCACATGAACACACGCACACATGTAGTGTGTGTGTGTGTGTGTGTGTGTGTGTGTGTGTGTGTGTGTGTGTGTGTGTGTGTGTGTGTGTGTGTGTGTGTGCGTGCGTTTAGCGACCCTTCCCCTCCGACAGCAAAGCGAGCACCTCCATGGAACTTCCCTTGGTGGTCACCTACCCGCCTGACGTGGCCACCGAGAGAAAGGTTCTGGTCGGCAACCTTCTCGACACCGTCACTGAACTCACAAAGATGGTGAGCGGGGGGGGGGGGGGGGGGGGAAGAGAAATCGTCATTTGATTTTTTTTTTAAACTAAAATGGGGGGGGGGGAGAAATCGTCATTTGATTTTTTTTAAACTAAAATAACGAGTATAACGGTCATTTATTCGTGTGCGTGTGTGCCAAGAAAGATAAGAAAGATTAAGGTAATATTTGAGATAGATTAAAGATAAATTGTGTATGTCAAGAAAGAGACTAGAAAAGTTAAGGAAATATTTGAGATAGATTAAAAATAATTTGTATACCAAGAAGGATAAGAAAAATTAAGGTAATATTTGAGATAGATCAAAGATAATGTGTGTGTGCCAAGAAAGATAAGAAAAATTAAGGTAATATTTGAGATAGATTAAAAATAATTTGTGTGTACCAAGAAAGATAAGAAAAATTAAGGTAATATTTGAGATATATTAAAGATAATTTGTGTGTGTCACGAGAAAAAATCAGGTAATATTTGAGATAGATTAAAGATAATTTGTGTGTCAAGAAAGATAAGAAAAAATAAGGTAATATTTGAGATAGATTAAAAATGATTTGTGTGCACTAAGAAAAATAAGAAAAATTAAGGTAATATTTGAGATAGATTAAAGATAATTTGTGTGTGTCACGAGAAAAAAATCAGGTAATATTTGAGATAGATTAAAGATAAGAGTTCTAACATGATTCTGCATTCGATAGGAGGCCAGCAGCTTACCCTGGAATACAGCGAACTGAGGTCCATCAGCCCAGCAAAGTCCACTCTCCATGCTAGTCTCGGCATCAACGACTACAAGAACCGATATGTCAACATCCTACCTTGTGCGTATAATATTCAGTCCTTTCTATGAGAGCTTAACTATACTAACTTGTATGATAGGACTGGTACCTGTGACAACGTTGAAGAATTATACTAGTTTGTGAGGTAGGCCTATATTAGTCTCGGCATCAATCTGAGAACCGATATGTCAACATCCTACCTTGTGCGTATAATATTCAGTCCTTCCTATGAGAGCTTAACTTACTAACTTGTATGATAGGACTGGTATCTGTGACAACGTTGAAGAATTATACTAGTTTATGTGGTAGGCCTATATTAGTCTCAACATCCTACCTTGTGCGTATAATATTCAGTCCTTTCTATGAGAGCTTAACTTACTAACTTGTATGATAGGGCTGGTACCTGTGACAACGTAAAAGTATTATACTATTTCATGAGGTAGGCCTATATTAGTCTCGGCATCAATATATTGTCAACATCCTACCTTGTGCGTATAATATACAGTCCTTTTTTATGATAGTTTTAATATACTAACTTGTATGATAAGACTGGTACCTGTGACAACGTAAAAGTATTATACTATTCTGTGAGGTAGGCCCATAATAGTTGCTCTGTCACAGCACTATTCAACTATCTGTATCATATTGATATCCATAAATCGTAACTATACTTCGCTGCATCATCCCTTTTAATACTTATAGTTTATCACTGAGAACATGAAGTCACTCGCTCTTTGCTTCGATCGCATGAATAGATGAATTCCTGTCCTTAAGAAAGAGTTGTGAAAACCATTAAGAACATGTACTGTAAACATTTCCTATGACGTAGGTTACGAATCGTTGGTACCTTTTTCACCTTGAATTATATTTCTATAGGGGAGGGAAGGCACTTCAATATAAATTAACATGAGTAACGAAAATGTCTTGTGCGTTTTGTCTCTTAGTTGACGACACCCGTGTAATACTGAATGAGTACAGGGGAATCCCCGGCAGTGACTACATCAATGCCTCTTACATACACGTAAGTATTTGCTACGTATTCTGCAGTGGTTATTAGTTCTTGTATTAGAGAGATGTCACATGCATTAGATATTAGGCATAATGCTTCTGTTTTCCCATTTCAAGATACAGTAGTATTGTATTATTGTTTTTCCTAACACGGTCACGCCAAAGTTTAATATTTTAGGCAGTATTATTGTTAAAATTATAATAATAATAATTATCATTATTATTAATCATTATTATACCAGAGTATTACTGCATCTTTGTATTCCCCACCACACTACTGTTTATGCTACTAGGCACAATCCCCCCCCCACCTCTTAAAATAAAATAGCTTTATGCACTATATTAAGAGTATTCCCTGACGAGTTCGTCTCCACAGGGATACACTAAGCCAAAGGAGTTTATAGCTAGCCAAGGACCCAAGGAAGAACTGAAGGATGACTTTTGGAGGCTGGTGTGGGAGAAGAACGTACACGTCATCGTTATGGTCACCCAGTGTGTGGAGGCTAACAAGGTACGTTTGTGCTGGTGAGAAAGGGGAGGGAGAAACGGTAAGAGAACTAGTAAAATATAAATTAATAGATAAAGATAAGGGTCGGGAGGTACTAAACACACACGCACACACACGCACTTACATTTACACTCACTCTCTCTCTCTATCTATCTCTCACTCATCACTCACTCACTCACTCACTCACTCACTCACTCACTCACTCACTCACTCCTCACTCTCTCTCTCACTCTCTCTCTCTCACACACACACACACACACACACACACAAGAGAGAGAGAGAGAGAGAGGGAGAGAGAGAGAGAGAGAGAGAGAGAGAGAGAGAGAGAGAGAGAGAGAGAGAGAGAGAGAGAGAGAGGAAAAATCTAAAGCTTTCCAAAACCTTGACACAGGAGAAATGTTGCACGTACTGGCCCTCCCCATCAAACGTGCAAGGCTGGCGTCTCGGGTTTCCGAAGCTTCACGTCCGAACGGTACTTGAAGTGAACCATCAACCAGGCGGATACATCACCAGGAAATTTGAGCTGTCCAAGGTTAGTAGCCGTGAAAGGCTAGGTCAGTAGCACCTAGAGAAGGTGTCATAGCGTCTATTTTCTTTTTTTTTCTAACACATGGGATTTATTTTAAAGACGTCACAAAAGTTACGGATGCTTCGTGATTGTTGTCGATCATTTTGGTCTTTTCAGTTTTCAAAAAGGATGGAAAAAATAATGATTTTAATGGTTATATTTCCATTGAAAAATCATCAAAACAAACGCCATGACACCTCGAGTTGCTACTGATCTAGCCTTTCCCGTTAGAAGCTTGCAAGAATTGTAATATTTAACCTTTATTACTGACTACAATTTATTCGATCGCGCTCATAATTCTGAAAATTGTAATACTAGGTGTATAACTAACCATAACACTGCCTTATTCGGAAATCCACAACTCCATACATACCTAGTAAACATGCATCGGTCTTTCAACATTTAGTGAAATGACACAGCAAATGAAGCCACTGTCCACACCACACAGGGTTCGCGCAGCCGTGTCATCCAGCACTTCCACTATGTCTCTTGGCCTGACATGGGCTGCCCTCAGACCCCAGATCAGCTGATTCAGTTCGTCAAGGTCGTGAGAGCCGCCATCCCTAAGGAGAGCTCACACACGCTCATCCACTGCAGGTGAGAAGAGCCTATACCATGCGTTGGAACGTGTTTTAATCTTTGAAATTCTTGCTCTTTGAAAATATTCATTTGAAGTTGTTTTACTCTGAAAATATTCATTTGAAGTTGTTTTAATCTTTGAAATTGTTCATTTGAAGTTTTTTTACTCTTTGAAATTATTCATTTGAAGTTGTTTTACTCTTTGAAAATATTATTTGAAGTTTGTTTTACTCTTTGAAATTATTCATTTGAAGTTGTTTTACTCTTTGAAATTATTCATTTGAAGTCTTGTCTCATAAGTTCATCTATCAGTTAAATTTGTCGTCAAAGTTCTATTATATATCTCATGAACTAATAAGGTGTTTTTTTTCTTCGGATATTTTGTGTTTGTTTCTGATATTGTGGATTCTTATATCATCTATTATATATGTAGTCATCCCTTGCACCCATTTCTTAATTATTCGTCTTTCTCCACATTCTTTATTCATTTTCTTTCACTTATTCCCTCATTATCCATCTCCCTTATATGTTCTATCACTATATCCTTGTATTATTATTATTCATCCCAATTTTATTATGTCCATGTATTAGATCCATATTTATCCATATTTTTCTATCACGCTCGCCTTAATTGCTTCATTTATTCCCCAAATTATCTCCCTCCACTCATACCATCATCTTCTTAATTAATTTATTCATCATCCTTCTTCATATTATCTCCTTGCATTCATTTCATCATTAGTCATTTTCCATATTATCTCATTGTATTAATTTTATCACTATTACCTCTCAAATTATCTCATTACAATTTTTTTTATCATTATTCGTCTCTCATATTCACTCTGCATTAATTT